TTCTTCTCTCTCTCTCATTCTCTCTCTCTCCTTACATTCTCTCTCTCTCCTTACATTCTCTCTCTCTCCTTACATTCTCTCTCTCTCCTTACATCTCTCTCTCTCCTTACATTCTCTCTCTCTCCTTACATTCTCTCTCTCTCCTTACATTCTCTCTCTCCTTACATTCTCTCTCTCTCCTTACATTCTCTCTCTATTCTCTCTACATTCTCTCTCTCTCCTTACATTCTCTCTCTCTCCTTACATCTCTCTCTCCTCCATACATTCTCTCTCCCTCCTTACATCTCTCTCTCCTTACATTCTCTCTCCCACATACCCATACATTCTCTCTCTCTCCCTCCCCCCCTCTCCTTCTGCACCGAGGCCCCACCCTCGGCCCCGTCAGCAAAATGGGGTTCCTGTCATATTTACGCGTCGATCAGGACACACGGGGACAAACACGGCGCTTATCGATGGTGAAATTCCATCGCATTTTATCCCTCTGTGCGCCAGTGTGTGTGATTGCGAGTGAGCGAGTGTGTGAGTGAATGAGTGAGTGTGAATGGGTGAGTGAGTGTCAGAGTGAGTGTGAATGAGTGAGTGAGTGAGTGAGTGTGAATGGGTGAGTGAGTGTCTGAGTGAGTGTGAATGAATGAGTGAGTGAGTGAGTGAGTGAGTGTGTGAATGAGTGAGTGAGTGTGTGAATGAGTGAGTGAGTGAGTGAGTGAGTGAGTGAGTGAGTGAGTGAGTGAGAGCAGTGAGAATAAGTGAGTGTGTGAATGAGTGAGTGAGTGAGTGAGTGAGTGTGTGAATGGATGAGAGTGAGTGAGTGAGTGTGTGAATGAGTGAGTGAGTGTGTGTGAATGAATGAGTGAGTGAGTGAGTGAGTGCGCCAGCGTGTTCCCGCTTTAACTGCCAACTAACTCTACTTCTACATTCATCACGACCACCGCCCCCCCCCCCTTCCCTCCCTTCCCCCCACCCCGGCTGGAGAGAACTTCCTGCAGATACATAAACGGGCGTGATAACTTCCCTCCAGACATTGCCGTGACAAGGGTTTGCCTCGGCAGGAACCCCATTGCACGCTGAAAAGTTGGCCGTTGCTCCCAGCTCTTTGTATGCTGATAACTTATCATTTTTCTCTGTCTGTTTGTAGGCCTATCTATTTATCTATTCACCCCTTTTCGTTACTTTCTCGTTCTTCTCTCCCCCTCGTTCTCTTCCTCCTGTCACGCGTACACAGGGTCATGCACACACACGCACTCATATGTATCGGTGTGTGTGTACATTTTTTCTCTTCTCCTTTTATCTCCTTCACATCTTTCTCCTAATCTTCCTTATCCTTACCATTACATTATCATCACTTTCTCTGTAGTTCTAAATTCAAGTGTCAGTCTCACAATCATCAATTAGGATCATTATCATCAACAAAAAATATCAATAACAATACAGAAACAGAATAGATGCAACAGAGAATAAAAACCCAGATAAATAAATGAATAAGACCGGTGACCTTTCCCCCTCCCCCTCGCCCCCCCCCCGCCCCCGCCCCGCCCCCATAACATGTCACCAAAAGAGGTCAAAAGGTCAAGACATCGACCAGAGGCTTTAAAAAGTCACACCAGATCGTGATTTGTTAAGTATTATCAACGCTAATCTAGGCCTATTTTTTTTTAATGCCTATCATGATGACAGAATCGCTAATCATTATCCTGAAATGTATAATAATTCTTATTATTATTAAGACGATAAATCCCACTCCAAATACAAACAACAACTTCAAAGATCAAATAAAAAATAACACCACTAATAGCTGAAGGAAAACAACAAATACATAATTAGATATATAATATACACAATCCTTTCGCAGACACAGGAAAGAGAGAGAAAAAATAATTTTAAAAAAATGCATTCTCAACGGAATCTGTTATTCTAAAAATTCTTAAGGTCTATAAACTGAACAAAATATCAGACTTTTCAACAACAAAAATAATAAAAAACAATAAAAAATAAAATAAATAAATAAATAACCAAAATGCAATCAAACCAATCAAGAAAATCTAAAACCACGAATGAGAAAATACCCCCACCCCCACCCCCCCACCCCCCACCCCCCGTTCTCAGGCCAAACTCAGAAGGCCTATCACTGAGCTCTCTCTCTCTCTCAGCCTCACTCTTGCATAATTAATCGCGTATGGAATAGTCGCACATTTCTTAGGCCTACCTGGAGCCTTTTTATGGGAGGGGAGGTGGTGGGGCGAAAAAGACGCGTTGAAGACTGCAATTCTTTTATATTCGTCTGTTCAGTTCACTCGTTTGTTAGAATCTGTAATGCCTTTGCCGTTTTACTGCTTTTGTTTTATCCTTACCCTTATTAGCTGGACGTGAATTACCGTTATCAAAGACAGCTATCCTGTAAATATTTCATTTCAATATCCATACTTCTCAGCTGGTTAGAATCTGAAGAAATATAGGCCTATGCAATCAAGTAGACCATTTGAATCGAAATCATAGGTCAACAATGAGCCTGGAAGAAAAACGGTAGGCCTATGCGAAAGATAATGACATGGAATAACCCAAAATCCCCCCAGAACAATAATTACGATGACAATGATGATAAAACTAAAAATAACATAAAAAAACAACAACAATGGCCGCCGAAGCTCCTGCCCCCCCCCCCCCACCAATGGCCAAGTCGCCAATCTCTCTCGCCGATGTCCCTGCGCCGCCATCTATCCATCTATCCGTCTGTCTATCGATCTTTCAGCCTTCTAAAATCCTCATCAACATAGGCTTGATCCACAGGCCGCCCGCACGCCCACCGGACCTGCACCGCCGCCCACGGAGGTCCGTTTCACTTCTCCCTTCCCCTCTTATTGACGGTTTTCGTAGTTTGTCCCTATTCACGACATTCCTTTAATATTCTCTTCTCTTCTTTTTACCCCTCTTTCCTCCCTTTTCTCCTCCTTCTACTTCTTCTTCTTCCCCTCGTCCCACCTCCTCCCCCTTCTTATTTCCTGCCTTCCCTTCTTCTCGTCTCCCTCCCTGGACATCTCTTTCGCAAAAGCCTACTTGCGTACTTTGTCTCTTCCTTCATTCACATTCCTCACGTCTCCTTGGACTGACGCGCCAACGGACGTACACACACATACAGACACATACAGACACACTCCCCATTCAATTATATTCTAATTTACCATTCCTCTCTCTCCCCCTCTCCTCTTTCCCTCTCCTCCCTCCCCCCTCTCTCCCTCTCTTTCGCCCTCTCTATATACATCTCCCTCCTCCCTCTCTATATATATATCTCCATCCCTCTCTCTCTCTCTCTCTCTTTCTCCCTCCCTCCTCCCTCTCTCTATGTCTCTCTCCCTCTCTGTCTGTCTGTCTGTCTGTCTGTCTGTCTGTCTGTCTGTCTCTCTCCCTCCCTCCCTCCTCCCTCCCTCCCTCTCTCTCTCTCTCCCTCCCTCCCTCTCGAATAAACCGTGGATAAAATATCTTAATTTCACGCTTTCCCTTCTGATATACAACCCGGACTCTTGTTCATCTTCCTATTATCCTTATTATCTTTATGATCTTTATTATCATTATCTTCTACACCATCATCTCGGGACTTATTTCCCTCTCTATCCTCCTAATTCCTCATTTCTTCTGCTCACTCCCCTTCGTTATCATATCCGCCTCCCCTTCTTCTTGTTCTTTATCCTCCCTCTCTGCTCCCTTGCAATCCTTCGCTCTCCTCTGCCATTCTCCACCCTCGTTCTTCTTCTTTCCTTCTCCCTTCTCTTCTTTTCTCTCATTCCCTTCCTGTCTCCCTATCTTCCCCAGCCTTTTCCTCTTCCTCCTCCTTCTCCTCTTCCTCTTCAATTCCCCTTCCTTGACCCTCAACTCCCCCCTCCCTTCCCCCTCCCCTTCTCCCCTGCCACCCCCGCCCCCTCCCTTCCTCGCCATAACCGGTGGATCTGCCACGGCCTCCCCAGGTGGGCCGCCGCCCGCAGGTGGGCCGCACCACTCAGCTGGGGAGCGGGTCGGTGCCGGGCCTGTGTATTGATCCCCCACCCGCGCCCCCCGGCCCCTGGGGAGCAGCGCGCCCCAGGGGGACTCCCGCAAGCCGCCACGAACAGGCAGAACCAGCAGCAGCAGGAGGAGGAAAGGTGGGGGTTGGAAGGAGAGGTGGAGGAGAGGGATGGTGGGGCGGGTAGAGAGGGGAGAGGTGGAGGAGAGGGATGGTGGGGGCGGTAGAGAGGGGAGGGGTGGAGCGAGATGTGGAGGGGAGGTAGAAGAGAGGAGGAAGGGAGGGTGGGATTAAAGGGAAGGAGAAGAGAGGAGGGAGGAGGGAGAGAGACGGAAGAGGAAACGCAGGCGTGATAAATGGGGCGAGAAAGGGAGGAAGAGGGCGAGGACAGGAGGATGGAGGAGAGAAAGAGGCGGAGGAGAGAGGAGAGGAGAGAGGGAGAGGGAGGGAGGGAGGGAGAGAAGGAGAGAAGGAGGGAGAAAGGAGAAAGGAGAGAAGGAGGGGGGAGGGAGGGAGAAAGGGGAGAGAGGGAGGGAGGGAGAGAGAGAATTGAGATTCAGAGGTAAACAATGTAGCGTATCGACGTCGCCGCCGCCCCGCGCCTCGCCCCGTCAACACGCCAAAATCGAACCGCTCGGAAACACATACAAACACACACACACTTAAAAAAACATAAAAGAAAGGAAAAAAATGGGGAAAAAAGGAAAAAAGAGGAAGAAAAGAGAAAAAAAAAGAAAGCAAGAGAAAGAGAGAGGCCGGGGGCGCCGTCGGCCGAGGGGAAAGCCGAGAGGAGTCGAAGGGGCGTCCACCCCCTTCCCCCCCTCCCCCCCTCTTACAGACATCCCCCGGAGCAGCGACGCCAGATAGACAGACAGATAGACAGACACGCTCAACGGAAGGAGAGAGCGGGAGATAAGAACCAGGCGGGGAGAGGGGGGGGGGGTGTAAGGGCGCCGTTCTGATAAGCCGCCCGACTAACAACTCCCATGGGCGCGCGTACTCCAAGTACAGCACTCCTGGTAATTACCCTTGACCGATAGAAAAGGGGGGGGGGGGAGGAAAGGGGAAGGGGAGGAGGGTGAGAAAAAGGGGAGAGTAGGGAGGGGGAGGGGAAGGGGAGGAAAGGGAGGGAAAGGGGAAGGAAAAGGGGAGAGTAGGGGAAGGGGAGGGAAGGGAGGGGAAGGGGAGGAAAAGAGGAATGGGAGGAGAGGGTAAGAAAGAGGGAAAGTAGGGGAAGGGGAAGGGGAGGGGAAAGGGAAGGAAAGGGGAAGGCGAGGGAGAGGGAAGGGGAGGGAAAGGGAAGAGGAAGGGGAGAAAATGGGAGGAGAGGGTAAGAAAGAAAGAGAGTAGGGATGAGGGTAGGGGAAGGTGGTTGGTGGAAGGACGGTGGAGGGGGGGAGTAATATCAGGGGGTCCTCTGACGTCGACCTTCGCCCCTCCATTGCCTTGCGCCCTCATCACCATCGTCATGATAACAGCAAATTTATGATACTGACAATATTGGCAATAATATTAGCAATAATAATAGCAGTAATAATAATAATATAATCATTTACAATAATAACAATATAATCATTTACAATAATAATAATATAATCATTTACAATAATACTAATATAATCATTTACAATAATAATAATATAATCATTTACAATAATAATAATAACCAACAGTAATAATAATAACCAACAATAATAATAATAATAAAAATATTAATATAATAATGACAATAACACCAACAATAATAACAATAATAATAACAATCATAACGAAAACAAAAGTAAAAAAAAGCGAGTGTCCCTACAACCACGGTGCCAAAGACCTACCCCCCCTCCCCCGTCCCACAGGCTACCACCCGATACCAGGCACAGTGCCACGCGGACACCCAACAACCTCTACTACAACCCAACCAACACAACCCACAACCCGGGCCCACCAACACAACCCGCAACCCACAACCCGGGCCCACCAACACCCACAACCCACAACCCGGGCCACCAACACAACCCGCAACCTACAACCCGGGCCCACCAACACAACCGCAACCCACAACCCGGGCCCACCAACACAATCCGCAACCCACAACCCGGGCCCACCAACACAACCTACAACCCTCAACCCGCCACAACACAACCTACAACCCGGCCCACCACACAACCCGCAACCACAACAAACACAAAAACCCTCAACCCGGGCCCACCAACACAACCTAAAACCCTCAACCGGCCCACCAACACAACCCACAACCCGGCCCACCAACACGTCCCACAAACCCACAACCCGAGCCCACCAACACAACTCACAACCCACAACCCGGGCCACCAACACAACTACAACCAACCGGGCCCACCAACACAACCTACAACCGGGCCCACCAACAACAACCCACAACCACCACAAACCCGCAACCCACAACCCGGGCCCACCAACACGTCCACAACCCACACCCCGGGCCCACCAACACAACTCACAACCCACAACCCGGGCCCAACACAACCCGCAACCCACACCCGGGCCCACCAACACAACCCACAACCCGGGGCCACCAACACAACCTACAACCCGGACCCACCAACACAACCCACAACCCCGGACCCACCAACACAACCTACAACCCGGGCCCACCAACACAACCACAACCCGGCCCCACCAACACAACCCACAACCCACAACCCGGGCCCACCAACACAACCCACAACCCACACCCCGGCCCACAACACAACTCACAACCCACAACCCGGGCCCAACACAACCCGCACCCACAACCTAGGCCCACCAACACAACCCACAACCCGGACCACCAACACAACCTACAACCCGGACCCACAACACAACCCACAACCCGGACCCACCAACCCCACAACCGGGCCCACCAACACAACCACAACCCGGGCCCACCAACACAACCCAACCCACAACCCGGCACCACACAACCCGCAACCCGGCCCACCAACACCCCACAACCACAAACCCGAGCCCACCAACACAACTCACAACCCACAACCCGGGCCACCAAACACACCTACAACCCAACCCGGGCCACCAACACAACCTAAACCCGGCCACCAACACAACCTACAACCGGGCCCACCAACACAACCTACAACCCGGGCCCACCAACACAACCCGCAACCCAACCCCCCACCAACACAACCCAACCCACACCCGGGCCCACCAACACGTCCCACAACCCACACCCCGGGCCCACCAACACAACTCACAACCCACAACCCGGGCCAACACAACCCGCAACCCACAGCCCGGGCCCACCAACACAACCCAACCCGGGGCCACCAACACAACCTACAACCCGGACCCACCAACACAACCCACAACCCCGACCCACCAACACAACCTACAACCCGGGCCCACCAACACAACCCACAACCCGGGCCCACCAACACAACCCACAACCCACAACCCGGGCCCACCAACACAACCCACACCCCGGGCCCACCAACACAACTCACAACCCGGCCCACACAACCCGCAACCCACAACCAACACAACCCACAACCCGGGCCACCAACACAACCTACAACCCGGACCCACCAACACAACCCACAACCCGACCCACCAACCACAACCACAAACCCACCACACAACCCACAACCCGGGGGCCCACGAACACAACCCACATCCCGGGCCCACCAACAAAACCCGATACAAACAAAACAAAACCGGAAAATAGAAAAAAATGCAACAACAACAACAACAAAGCCAATTACAAGAAAAGCAGCAATTACAACCGCAACAACACTGAGGTTATGCGCACAAGGAGAGAACGCGAGAATGAGAACTCGACTGGACTCATAATGAGGGAAGGACAGGGCTGTTCGGCGGGAGGGAATGAGTGAATGGGGGGGGGGGTGGATGGGTGGGTGGGTGGGTGGATGGATGGGTGGGTTGATGGATAGGTAGGTGGGTGGGGTTGATGGGTTGATGGTGGGTGGGTGGGTGGGTTGATGGGTGGGTGGGTGGGTGGATGGATGGGTAGGTGGGTGGGTTGATGGGTTGATGGGTGGGTGGGTGGGTGGGTGGGGATGGGTGGATAGACGATGGATGGATGGGTAGGTGGGTGGTGATGGGTGGGTGGATGGGTGGGTAGGTAGGTGGGTGGGTGGATGGATGGATGGATGGATGGATGATGGATGGATGGATGGATGGTGGGTGGGTGGGTGGGTGGGTGTGGTGGGTGGATGGATGGATGGATGGATGGATGATGGATGGGTGGATGGATGGATGGATGGATGGATGGATGGATGGATGGATGGATGGATGGATGGGTGGGTAGGTGGGTGGACGGACGACGGATGGATGGGTGGGTGGATGCATGGATGGGTGGGCGGGTGGATGCATGGGTAGGTGGGTAGGTGGGTGGGTGGATGAATGGGTGGATAGACGGATGGATGGATGGATGGATGGATGGATGGATGGATGAGTAGGTGAGTGAGTGTGAGCAACTATGAACATATGAGCATGAGTATGAGTGTGTGAGTGCGTAGGCGAGAGATAGAGGAAGAGGGAAAGGGAGAGAGAGTCAATGAATAAATGAGTGAATAAATGAATGCATGATTGAGTGGGCGAGTGTGAGTAAAGGAGATTGAGTGAGCAAGTGGCTTGGTGAGTGAGTGAGTGAGTGAGTGAGTGAGTGAGTGAGTGAGTGAGTGAGTGAGTGAGTGAGTGAGTGAGTGAGTGAGTGAGTGAGTGAGTGAGTGAGTGAGTGAGTGAGTGAGTGAATGTGTGTGCATGTACCCAAGGGATACCGGGGGAAGAGGGGGAGGGGGATACAGGTGGGGCTCGTATTGATCTTCCACCCTCCACCCCGCCCCCCCAGGGGACCTGCTCGGGCCCCGGGGGACGCCGCGACACACGCCGCCCCTGCCGCCCACCCCCTGCCAGACCGGCCCCAAACAGCGCCCAACTCGGGTGCTCTGTCGCTCCCCCCCCTCTCTCTCTCTCTTTCTCTTTTTTTCTCTCCCCCCCTCTCTCTCTTTCTTTCTTTCTCTCCCCCCTCTCTCTCTTTCTCTCTCTCGACTCCTCCCTCTCTCTCTTTCTCTCTTTTTCTCTCCCCCTCTCTTTCTCTTTCTTTCTCCCTTCTCTCTCTCTCTCTCTCTTTCTCTCTCTCGACCCCATCTCTCTCTCTTTCTCTCTTTTTTTCTCTCTCTTTCCTCATCTGTGTCCCCCATTCGCTCTTACTCTCCTCTCCCTCTCTTTTTCTCACTGCTTGTTTTTCCCCGTCTCTTCGTTACTCCGTCTCTCTTTCTCTGTATCTCTCTCTTTCATTATCTCTTGCTCGCTCCTACTCTCCTCGTGTTTGACTCGCTCATTTCATCAATTCTGTCTTGTCGTTTTTCCCTTCCTCATTTCCTTTTCTTGTATCTCTTTCATCTGTCTTTTCACTTTCACTCATATTCTCTCTCCCTCCCTCCCTCCCTCTATTTCCCTCTCTCTCTCTCCCTCTCCCCACTTCTCTCTCTCCTCTCCCTCCCCCCTCTCTCTCTCTCTCTCTCTCTCTCTCTCTCTCTCTCTCTCTCTCTCTCTCTCTCTCTCCCTCTCCCCCCCTCTCTCCTCTCTCTCTCTCCCAGGCATCACCATACCCTCCTCCCCCTGGACGTCACCATACCCCCCCCCCCCCCCCCGATGGTGCCGGCTGGATGAAGGCGCGGCGAAGGCGGTGAAGCCCCTCTCCCTGGGGCGTCGTCTGCCTCTACTGCACCCCAGGGTCCCGTCCCCCTTCCCCCCACCATCACCCTCCCCCCACCTCCTTCCCCTTCATCTCCACCCCCACCCAAACACACATGCTCTCTCTCCCCTATGCTGGCTTTTGCACTCTTCTCTCTCCCCCCCCCTCCTCCTCCCCTCTCCATACCCTATGCTGAGCTTTGGACTCCTCTCTTCTCTTCTCTTCTCTTCTTCTCTCTCTCTTCTCTTCTCTTCTCTTCCCTCTCCTAGCCCTCTCAACCCCACACAAGAGATCTCCCTATGCTGGCTTTTGCAATCTTTGCCCCTTCCCCCTCCCCTCCTCATTATCCCCCTTACCACTCTCTCCCCATGCTGGCTTTCCCCCCTCCTCTCTCCCTTTCCCCTCCCCCACCTTTTCGTTCTCCCTTCCCCTACCCCTACCTTTTTATTCTCCCCTTCCCCCTACCCCCACCTTTTTA